CAGTATGGAAAGAGGAGGAGCAAAATAAACAACCAAGTTAGTTGACTGAACAAAGAAGAAGATGATTTTCCTATTTTTTGTTGTTGTTGTTGATTATCTTAATTCCATATTTATTGGATGCTAATGCTGTTTACTTCTGAGCATTTTATTATTTATTATAATTCCAACTTGCCAAATTGATGTGCCTTCAGAAAATAGCTCTACCACATTTTTATCCCATTTTAATTCTCTCCATTTCTCTACAATAACACATATCTCTCAAAGAGGAGAAGTGGGGGATAATCAAATTACCCATTTCTTCCCATAAGAGAAAAAGGTCTACCTAGCATTGGGGGTTTAGTGGTAGAACTCTTGCCTTCATGAGGGAGACTGTCAATGTACCTCATTTGCAGCTACCACCTACAACCTGTCCCTCAGTGGAGGCTGGTATGTTGCTCTGATGCTGAGCAGGTTTCAACAGAGCTTCTAGACCAAGATGAACTAAGAAGAATATGATTTATTTATTAAAAGTTCTAGTGATCTACTTCTGAAAATCAGCCAATGATCACAATTGTCAGATCAGCAACTGATCATGGGAATGGCACAAGGTGAGTTCATTGTTTCATTCAGATGTATGGTGCTAGGACAGCTAACAACAACAGCAATGGTTAGCTGCCATGTCATTAAGAAAAAATTTCAGCAGGAAAAAACAATCAAAAAGAAAATCTTGTGAAGACAGCTTCACAAGATATAGCAATCCTGGGGAATTTTCTTTCAAATGAAAAGTATCAAGAAGATCTTCAGACAAGATGGCGGACTAGGCAGATGCACTGCACAGACTCTCTAAAACAAAGATACGCGAGACTAAACAAAACAGATACAGATGAAAATCCTGGAACCCTGAACTTCTGAGGAAAGATTAAATTAGAGGATTGAGTTATTGCTGAGAGAAGAAGCTGAGTAGGGACAGCAAGGAAGGGAGACTGACTGGTGAAGAGATGGCCAGGCTAGGTGCAAGCATCTAGAACTTCTGTGAGCAGAGGTTGTGACATATGGAGGCCTGGCAGAACAGATTCACACAGACAATGGGAAAGGAGTGATTCCTTTTCTTTCATCTCACGCTCCCCTGGTGAACAGAGGTGTGACCAGTTCCTACCCTTATACACCCTCTATGCAGAACCTGCTCCCCAGGAGTTCAGTGCTGTGTGGTTGTACTGCTTTAGTGCCTGGATTCAGGTGGCTTGTCTCCAGACACAGAGAAACTGACTAGCCAGCAGACCAGCATTAGTGCAGCATAAGCCTTCATAATGCCAGTCACCCTGCCCCTAGCTGCCTTGTGGTTCTAACAGACAATGAAAGCAGCTCCATCAAGGATGTCCACAAACTGCTTTCAGATTGAGTACCCTGCATTGATAATACCTATGTCTCTAGGAACTCCCCCATTTGGGAACAAACCCCCAGCATCCTCCTTGTGAGTGCCTTGGATGGCAGGAGCCCTCAGAGTTTCCTCTTCTCTGGTTCCAACATTTGCACTGTTTTTTGTTCATTTGTTTGGTTTGGTTTTCTCCTTTTGTTGCTCTGTTACTTTTGTTTGTTTCTTCTTCTCTTTCCATTCCCTTGAATTTTATTTACTCTGTTTTTCCTTCTTTTCTTCTATTTCTCATGTCCCCTCTTTTTTTGTCCCTTTTAATCTTTCTATATTACTCTTTTATCATCTTCACTCAACCCTGGTCTTTTTGCGTGTTGCTTTTTAAAAAAAAATTCTTCCTTTATTTTTCTATTCTGTAGCTCAATTTTCCGGTCCCTCTTTTCTCTTTTTAGTTATTTCATATTTTTTATCTAGCTGCTACCTCTTTTTATTTCTTTGTTCTCCTTTATTATTTTCTCTTTTCATTGCTGATTGTTTGCTTGTTTATTGTTTTGTTTTCTTGTGTGTGTCTGTGGCGGGTTTTATCTTCCTTCCCACGTGACAGACGATAACCATGTCCATGCAGCCCAGTCACAACTTTACTCTCTGCAGCTTTATCCAATGGACAAGAGTGAATACCACCTCATAATCAAATTACCCATTTCTTCCCATAAGAGAAAAAGGTCTACCTTTTTGCAACAATAGACAGCAGCGAACACCAGCCACACACATTCCAAACTGATGTGTGTGGAAGGTGAAGGTAGAATAGTGCCTGAGTTTCATTCTCTAACTACACCCACAGGAGACATTTGCTGACAGCCTAAGAAAGCATCAACATATAATCAATCATAAATTAAAGACAAATACAACACCACAATGCCACAAAGACAATAGACAAGTTTAGCTCACAAGAAGAAGCGAGAGAGAATGGCTCAAACAAATAATCAAGATGCACGTTCAGAAAACATTTCTGATGAAGAAAACACAATACAATTAACTGAAAAAGAATGTAAAAGAATGATATTTAGGTACTTTCAAAGGATTGGCAAGGAGAACACAGAAAAACTTCAAGCAAATTCAGGAAAATACTGCAAGAACAGAAAAATTAATACAAATTTTGAAATAATAAAAAATCTGCATTTTAAAATTTAAAAGATTAACACTAATATTTCAGAAATGGAAAATACATTAAGAGAGCAAAGGTGTAGATTCAAACTAAATTAGTAAACTTGAAGATAAAGCTCTCAATACTAGTATACTAGAAGAACAGTCAGAAAAAAAGAATAAAAATATCCAAAGAAAGTCTAAGAATTATGTGGGACACCATAAACAGTAAAAACTTGCAGTTGATCACAATTCTAGAACAGGAAGAGCAATAAAAACTACAGGGAAAATTGTCAAAGAGATGCTGGAAGAAAACATCATGAAAGAAGAGAAGATAACCACTCAAGAAGCATGAACAAACCTCAAAAATTATATGTTGTTGTTGTCAGGTGCCATCGAGTCCGAATCCACTGAGATTAAATATATCACAACACCACCTAGAACTCAATCCAGATATAGAATTATTTAAAGTAAAACAAACCTACAAGACTAAAATATGGAACCAGAGATATCAATTTATAATGACATCAACTACAAAGCAAAAAGGGGAAATAGTAGAGATACAGATCTTCCAAATGGCAAGGAAGTAGATTTCAAGATAAAACAGAATGTTTTAAATGACAAAAAATATATGTATATTACAGGGTAATCTCAAAGAGTATCAATATACCTTCACATCAAAATAAATAAGAGGGACATCAGAAAGATTTAATACAGATTGTCACAACAGCAATGAACATGAAAGAAAACCCACAAACAAAATTAATTTAGTGCAGAAAATTATGTAGAGCAGAGAAACTAGCACAAATACACATAGCAAAATGACAGCAATCAATTCATACCTATTGATAACAACACTAATTATAAATGGATTAAGTGTACCAGCAAAGAAACAGAGTACCAGAATGGATAAGAAAAGAGTATCCTTCAATAGCTGTCTACAAGAGACACATCAAAAATATGGAGTCAGCCTAAATACCTATCAAAAGAAGAATGGTTAAACAAACTTTGTTATATACACACAATGGAAAACTATACAATGTTGAAGAATAACCATGAATCTGCAAAACACCTCACAATAAGGATGAATCAGAAGGACTTTATACTGACTGAAATTAGTCCATCACAAAATAACAAATATTGTATGAGACCACTTTTGTAAAAAGAAAAGGAAGGTTTTCTTGATACAAGAAACATTCTGAGATATTTACTGGGCAGAGGGGGAAGGTAAATCATTTAAAAGCCGGAGAGTATTCACTTGTTGACATGGCTGATGGGGCAGGCAATATACAACAAGAGGGAAGTTGACAAAGGAAAGATGAAGGCAGCGGGAAGCACAGGGAGGAATGTAAGAGTTAAACTTGAACAGAGGTAAATACTGTTAAATGATAATACATGGAAGGGATAACAATCATTGTAATGAAGCAAAGTATATGATTTGTTGAATATAAAACTGATTATCTACTCTGTAAATTTTCACTGAATTAACAATAATCATGTGACCACTGATTTACTTTCATAATCCTGACGTGATCAAGGAAGACCACAGATTATAATGGGTTTAAAAAAAAAAAAAAGAAGAAGAAGAAGAAAAAAAACAGGCAAATATATACACTTTATAATTTACTACCACAACTTAACCTCAGTCAGGGTTCATTTTCATCATCCTTCAGAAATCATCATTATTTCACCTCCTTGCTCTAAAGCGTATGTATTCAAAAAAGCTGATGCAGAAAAAGGGATGCATTGGAAGCAATGGAATAAATGTTAACTAACCTGTATGGAAGAGAACTCATTATTCTGCTGACAAACACGGGGACCCACACAACAGAGTCAATCAGACCTTAAGAGAATTCTTATACATCAAGTTTTTAAAATATATACTTGTCACAATCTATGTCACAAATGTACCACATACCTGAGAAAGATTAGCAATACTCTGGCTTGAAAATGAAAATCCAGCTGTACTGACACTCGTTATTAATTATGAATATGCCTTTTGAAGGACTGTTCCACAGTATGAACTCTCTTGTTGAATGGGAGCTGGGGGAGAGAGCAGATAAGGCTGCTTCATGTCAATATTTCAGACATAACTGAGCTGTGAATGTACTGAACTCGCATGCTAGAGCAGCAATCTGGAATGGAAAGCAGAGGTCCACTGGGAGCAATGATCTTGCCCTGTGGATTTGCATCTGAAAGAATATTTATGCACCTGCAAAGTCAGAAATACTGACTTAGCACAACTTTAAAATGATTAGCAATTTAAGGATGTTAGAAAACTGTCAAAAGTAATGTGTTTTAGAAAAGGAAGGCTGATCAAATATATGGAAGTAATTAAGAAAACTCAGTAAAAAGAAAACACAGAAACAGATATATTGAGTTACTGAGAAAAAGGAGGCAGGTTATCACAATTTTGCTTTATAAATTATAGGGTGACTGGGAAGACATACCACAGCTGCTCTTTCTAGTGCAAACTGCCTTACGTACAGAAGCAAATTCTCCTACTTACATCAAATGGAGCTGAAATTGATTGGGCATTCTGATTACAGGGTTCCCTGAAGCAGTCACTAAAAGGAAGTAGAAGGCCCATGGCAATGATTCTGGAGCAGAACTTCTCTGCTTCTTCTGGCTGTGCGTTCTCCTGCTGGCTAAACAACTTCTCCAGCAGAGTTCGCCCTGGGGAAGAAACACAATCATTAGAAGAGAACACTGGCAGATCACCTAGCTCAAAACACTCCCAAAGGAGCCCAGTTGGGTAAACACAGCAAGAGAGCAAGGTGTTTCCAAGGTTACCGACATGCTGCCCAAAGAGAAACCTCTCAAACTCAGCGAGAAAAACAAACTTAGAGCCTGGGGTCTGAGATGTCATATATGAAGGGCAGACCTAGTTTACTCCCAGTCCCCAAAACACCTCCTGTACCAGGAGAAAATATATCACATTAAAAATTATACATCTCCTTACATCTGAAGAAGTGTCGTATCCTTTTGGATTTAATTGCTCATCTTCCTCCTTCTCTGCATTTACCCTGCAGATAGTTATCTGAAGACACAGAGTTGACTCTAAAACAATGTGGTGGTAAGGGTCTCAACTTTCACACATTCAAAATTTTATGTATAATCCCCTCTGTATACAGGGTAGATACAGAGGGGCAACTTAGACATTGGCTACCTAAAATGAGGGGGCGATAAAGACATGAAGTGACTGGCTTACAAGTTTTCAAGAAGGAGTTTAGTTTCAGAGTGTGCAGGGGAAGGTAGACTCCCCCACTGAATAGTTTTCGTCTTGTTTAGGTAGGTCTGGTGAAAGGAGACGGGGATAAGATTCTTATGATTCAACCGTGAGTAATTGTTATTATGACTAATTGTGACTGTCACAATTGTAAAGGTAGAAGTTTTGTAACATAAAGAGGAGAGTAGTTAATCTTCAATTCCAGGGACAGAGGACCCTGTGACCATCAAGGGAGAAGAGCATAAGCATATCCATAGAAGTCTAGGTGTGGCTCTGTGGGATAATGCATTATACTAAAAAGTCATTCGAACTACAAGGTCGATGGTTCAAGCTCACCAGTCACTCCTTGGAAACCCTATACAGGGTCATTATGGGTCAGAATCGACTCAACGGCCCTTAACAACAACAACAACAACAACATCCATAGAAGCAGTGACACCAGAGATGAGGACGTGGAGAGATAGAGCAGCTGAGGACTCTGGACCCATGGAAAGAGAAAGGCTGTTTGCTGGGGGCCAGGAGGCAGGCTTGCAGAATGTGCCTTTTGGTTGTTTAAATGATTATATATTACTGAATGTTTTTATGTACATCAAAAACAACAATGAGAATAGAAGCCAATACTGATGAATGATGATGCATGGAGGGGACTGTAATCATTGCAATGAAACAATGATATAAAGCCAATGCTCTCCCATGTAAATTATCATTCACTTCACACACACACACAAAAAAAAACTTTTAAAAAATTTAAAAATAATTTTTAAAAATTTTATGTATAACATAAAACTTAACTCCCTCAAAACTACTAGGAGCCTACTATGGACCTGAAGTTTTAACAATAACAAATAATCGATTAAAACTTGTAGTTTGTATGTTCTATGTATTATATGTTGGATCTTGGCTAAAAGTAGAGGGTACCAGAAAGCAGTTTGCTTGTGCTTTACTGACTATGCAAAAGCATTCGACTGTGTGGATTCTAACAAACTATGGCTAACAATGAAAATAGTGGGCATTCCAGAACACTTAAATGTACTCATGAGAAACCTGTACTATGCAAGAGTCACTCATTGGAACAGAACAAGGGGATACTAAAGGGACTGAAATCAGGAAAAGTGTGTACCAGGGATGTAACCTTTCACCATACTTATTCAATCTGTATGCTGAGCAAATAATCCAAAAGGGTGGATTATTTGAAGAACATGACATCAGGACTGGAGGAAGACTCATTAACAACCTATAATATGCAGATAACACAACCTTGCTTGCTGGAATCGAAGACGACTTGAAATACTGATTAAGATCAAAGACTATAATTTTTAATATGAAATGCACCTCAATGTAAAAAGAAAAACCCTTACAATTGTACTAATAAATAACATCATGATAAATCAAGAAAGATTGAAGTTTCAAAGACTTCATTTTACTGGACCCCACAATCAACACTTATGGAAGGAGCAGTTAAGAACTCAAACTACAGGACGGAACCGCGTGGGTCAAAGCAAGGCTGTGAGCCGGTGGTTCGGTGAGCCGGTGGTTTTGTGCAGCGGAGGCCGAGGCCATGGGAACTAGGTGGGGAACGGCTCCGCAGCATCATCTTTGCAAGGCGCCACTGCGAACCTGCCTGACTGAATATGGCGGAACCCGGTGAAGAACAACGCAGGCAGACAACTGCCACGACCCAGAACGGACATGAGGCCGCCCCTGAAGGCGTATCGCCAGTCAGGTCTGCCACTGCCACCGCAACTATGACTGGGACCAGCACCCATAGAATGGTTCCAAGGAGACCAGATCAACGCCAGCAAGAACGAGGAGGACGCGGGGGTGGGGGATGGGGGTGGGAAAGTTTGTTGGTGGCCTGAACTGGGACACCAGCAAAAATGACCTAAAACACTATTTTACCAAATTTGGAGAGGTCGTTGCCTGTACAACTAAAATGGATCCTAATGCTGGAAGGTCAAGAGGGTTTGATTTATCCTCTTCAAAGACACTACCAGTGTGGAGAAGATTCTAGACCAGAAGTAGCATAGGCTGAGCGGCCAAAAAGGCCATGGCCATGAAGAAGGAGCCAGTGAAGAAAATCTCTGTTGGAGGTCTGAATCCTGAAGCCACTAAGATCAGGGAGTACTTTGGCGACTTTGGGGAGATTGAGGTCACTGAGTGTCCCATGGATCCAAAGTCAAACAAAAGACGAGACTTTGTCTTTATCACTTATAAAGAAAAGGAAGCTGTGAAGCAGGTTTTGAAGACAAAGTTACACACTGTCATTGGAGGCAAGGGTGAAATCAAGGTAGCCCAGCCCAAACCGAAGCCGTGGCAGTGGTGGTGAAAGTGATGGTCAAAATGATACAAATTACAGGAAAAACCAGAGATGCGGTGCCCACCAGAATAACAACAAGCCATACCTGAGGCGGCAGCAGGCAAGACGCGAATGACAGCACCGCTCGTTTGGAGATCGGTGAATACAATTATGTAACTGGCAAACTTTCTATGGCCTGTGCATCTTATTTTAAAATTTCCCCCCTGGAAATTTTATTTCCAGAGCTGTTTCCAGAGCTCTGGTTGTGTTAGCAGCATCCTGGGCCTATTTTATTACCAGGTGCCCTAGAAGCAGATTGGAGGGTCTGCACCCAGTCTGCCGCTCTATAGCTCGGGCCTGTGGACCCTGGTGTTAAAGAATAAAACTGTATGTTAGGAATCCAGTGTCACCTTTTCTCCACCTTTTAATTTTATATTATTTGTGTCATACATTTCCTACAATGGAAGTTTTAATTTTACTGTACTTTTTGGTACCTTTTGGGAATCTAATGTATTGTAGGGTATTTTACTCGTGTCCTGATTTTGCCACGACCTGGATATTGAAGCTATCCAAGCTTTTGTAATAAAAATTTAACATCCCCCTTCCCCCAAAATAAAGAAAGAAATCAAACTACACTTTGCATTAGGCAAACATGCTGCAAAAGACCTCTTTAGAGTATTAAAGAGCAAAGATGGCTCTTTGAGGACTAAGATGAGCCTGATCCAAGTCTTGGTAATTTCAAATGCCTCATAGGCATGTGAAAGTTAGTAAACAAATAAGGAAGACTAGAAGAATAGATGCATCTGAATTAGAGAGTTGAAGAATATTGAAAGTACCAAGAACTGCCAGAACAAAGAAATCTGTAAAGGAAAAAGTACAGCTGAATGCTCCTTGGAAGTGAGAACTGGGAGACATCATCTCTCTAACTTTAGACATGTTGTTAGAAGGGATCAGTCCCTGGAGATACACATCATGCTTGTTAAAGTGTAGGATCAGTGAAAAAGAGAAAGACCCCAACAAAATGAATTGAGAGAGCTACAACAACAGTGAGCACAAACATTAACAATTTTGATTATGGTACAAGACTGGGCCGTGTTTCATTCTGTTGTGCATATGGTCACTAAGTCGGAAGCAGCTTACCAGCACCTTACAACAACTAATGTATTTTATACTGGACCCAATGTGATAGGTAAGGTTTGTGTCACCTTACCTGAGTCAGGATTCTCAGTGGCTTGACATATGAGAGGTAGTTAACCCCCATAATGCGATCTAATATAATGTAATCAGCTCCATGATGAGGTTTGATATGAACAACCAATCAGTTGAAAGGAAGCTTCCTTCCAATATAAGGGACACTCAGGCAAAGCTTGCTTGCTCTCTTCTGGTTCTAGATCTTGCCTCTGGCTTGTCCTCCTACCTCTAGTTCTTTAGTCTTGAACCAGTGGCCTGCTCCATTACCTGCCAATCCTGGGACCAGCATACCTGTTGTCTGATTTGCAGATCTTGGTTCATCAACCCTGCAACTACATGAGTCAGAAGCTTCCAGTCTGATCCACAGACTTGGGACAGACAAACTGTGTGAGCCATTTCCTTGATATCAATCTCTTTAGATATACAAGGGTGAGTCAAAACTTAGCCACACGCCAGTTATACTGAAATGCCCATTCACAGATGATGACAACATTGAGCGCACATGTGAAATGATTCTGTCGAATAGATGAGTGACAGTGGATTATGTGGTAAATCAATTGCAAATCAGTCCTGGCTCTTTGTTCTTCTGTCAGGTAGTGACGCTTTCAATATTCTTTGCCGGCACCATAATTCAAATACATCGATATTTCCCAATTCATAGTCTAGTTTTCACATGCACAAGATGTGATTGAAATTACCATGGCTTGGGTCAGGCATACCTTGGTCCTCAAACTGGTATCTGTACCCTTTAACACAATACAGAGGACTTTTGTAGCAGATTTGCTTAACGCAATATTTCATTTGATTTCTTGACACTGTTGACACGAGTACTGATTGTGAATGTAAGCAAAATGAAGGCTTGGAAAATATCAATCTTCTCCCCATTTGTTGTTGTTGTTATTGAGTGCCATCAAGTCAGTCTGACTCATAGCAACCCTGTACAGTGTTTCTGAGGAGCAG